CTGGCTGAAGAAACTAATGGCACTCCATGAATGCCTAGCAGCACAGATGAACCAGATGCTAAGGGATGGGTCCCACCCAGAGTGGCTAACCCAGGGCAGGACGGTTCTAATCCTGAAGGACCCTCAGAAGGGACCCATCCCATCCAACTGGGGGAGTGGCTCCAACAGATCCCAGGAACAACATCAGAAGCCTCAGTCCAGAAGAGCGCAGTCCTAGGAACAGCTAAGATACTGCGCACAACCCTCAAACTCCCAGGCCTCTGGTAGAGGACCCAAGCTTGAGGATAACACAGATACCACCCCAAGAGGGTGAGAGGGAAGTTTTTTTTTTTGTTTTATATATATGTACATACACACATATATAAAATATTTCATACTTTTCTTTAAATGCACATATATTGTACTGGATCAGCATTAGGACAGGAACAAAGGTATTGGAACATCTCCAGTTATAGATTATATCTAGAACTACAGTAACAGCATCTCAGGACAAGCAATGGGCACTACAGCCTACCAGACCCCATAGAAAAGAACAGTAAATTTACCTAGCAGATAAAACACTTCAAACTAGACAGAAAAAAAAAAACTTAGTCTTTCAACAATCTTTCCAACAATCACCAATGGTTTGGTCAAAATAAACCCTTAGATTATTACCCTTAGAGTTAGATGAGAGATCAGCAGTGAAAGGGGCTTTTATGGCTGCTATGTAAGGTTAGCTGATTCTAAGGCACCATCCACTAAAAATTGTGGGGTTTACCACAGACAGACTAAGATGGTTATTTTAAGTGTCTCACAACATTATAGAATGGATCCCTACAGAGATCGACCTTTTGTTTAACCAGAAAAAGGCGTAATATCACTCACCACCAGACTACATAGACAAAAGTGGTAATTCTACCTTGCATATCATCCAAACTTCTTTCAAAGGGACAGAAACAAAATCATCAACTCTCGTTTGCCTGAAATAAATCCTTAATTCATCAATGGAGATAATAAAAACAGCAGTTTCAGTCGCTCTACTCTCCTTGGAAAACAGGGGACTCACATGCAGCCAGACTGACTTTGTAAAAAAAAAATCAAAAGCAACAGAGGCAGAGGGAGCATGATGTCATTCTCTGCTCAGGACACCTGATATATATTGCTGTTATATTAATGTTCTCACATATAACCTTCGTTCACCTCTTTGTAATGGCAGGGAAAGAGCAACAGGATGTCGCCCTTTGAGAGGATGTGGCTGCCATTATCTGTGTCACCTGACACAAGGACACACAGAGCAGCCATGATGGATATCTGCTCCCCTCCTTTTGTATCTCAGAGTAAATATGAGAGCGGCTACTTGTCCTCCAGGAGCAGCTCACCATTTCATCTCTGCACAGCATGTCAATTCTGATCACTGGATGCATTTGAGAAGAACAGGAGCATCATAAATGAGTAATGCAGCTGTCAGTTTTGTTCAGTTTATTGGCTTACATCACTGACATAAACTGCCTCTATACCCCAACACACACACAAGCAGGGTGTCATGGTCGCCGAGAGAGCAAACCAAACCAAAAAAGGCAAACAATGTCATGCCTGTGGAACAGTATATTCCGCTACTGGTGGCAGTCCTGGCAGTCCTGGCTACCAGGTCTACACTGCTACATATTGCTTCTAGGAAATAGTCACAGCTGTGAGTATAACAAAAGCTTCTCTCACCTACTAAAGCTGGACATGTTACCAAACAAACTGCCACGATCAACAGTCTAGGTATCTCCACACCAGATACCCTCTATGGGCAAAATCCACTGTTCTAGACGTGGCTGGTCTATTTTTGACCAAAGCCGTGACCTGCCTACGTCAAGCAGCACACAACATATCTCACTGGCAAGTCAGACAGACACAGAAGTGGCATAGAGAAATCTCAGTCAGTCAGTTTCAAAATAAAATACCCTGTGTAGGTTGAATTTCATGCTACATCAAAAAAGTAGCCTGCTTACACATGGTAGAAGCACTATTATCAAGTAAAAATGACAAAATCATACATCAAAAGGGTGTGACTGGGGTAGATGGATGGGTCAAACTAAAGGGACTTTTCACCCAGGAGCCTGGAGTTCATGTCCCGCATGGAATTAAAAGGCATTTAAAGTTTTGTTTTTCAGAAAGTTATGATGTAGTTCTACTTATTTCAACTCAAATCATAATGTTTTCCTAAACCTAACAAATTTGTTTTGGTTTGGTACTGCAGCCTGTATACCAAAGAATGATAAAGAGAGGCTTCAGGGCTCACAAGGTCAATCCCTGTGCCAGAGTCAGACAGTGGGCTCTGCAATACAGTTTGGCTCTGTGATCCAGGCATGTGGCTGCAGCCAGTGACGTCATGTTGTTTATCTGGTGGCAACATGGCATTATATTTTTTTTTTAGCAATGAGAGATTTTGAGCACAGAAAAATATATTGTGCAGGCACATACATTATATTTTGAAGAGGAATTATACACAAGTGAAAAATAACTACATTTGAGCTAACAACAAAAATAATACAATACAATAATACAATAAATTTAACCCCTCTCACCCCTCTTTTCCTCATATGCACTCTCAATAACTCTTGCTCGGTGCGCTGGCAGACCGCTGCACACTCACTCGCATTCTCTCTCTCTCTTATCCTCTCCAATCTGTGCGAGCTCAACTCTGCTAGCACGCTTGCTCAACCACAAAATTAACTAATCAGAAAACTGCTGAAGGTAAATTCTGATTTGATGTTTCATCACAAATATATTATAATATAATCCAGCAGGCAAGATTTAAATTTGTTCTACTTGTTTAATATCCATTTAAACTACCATTTCATGTACACTGAAAATAAAAAGACAATTGCATTTATTATGTATTTCTTTGGGCACAAAATAATGGCAAAGGTCATTGGTTGACAAGAAGAGAGCAGGTTTCAGGCCTTCATTTGTTGTTTGTCTGCGAATAAACAAAGATGATATGAAATGATGATATAACAATGTATAGAAACTGCTGTTTGTATTGTTGTTGGTTAAGTATGATATTAGTAATGGACATATTTTCTGAATATTGCACTTCCAGACACTCATCTGAAAGTGTGGTTTTAGAACGTTGAAGTGGCCTTTCTATGAAATACATGACAGTCCCCTAGAGGCTGCAATGTCCAAAATGTAAACCTAAGTATCTTTTGAAGCGAAGGTGCTAAATATTGAACATATAGAAACCTTTTATGACACCTGACATTCTTGGTTCTTAACAATGAAACATTCTGAATTTGCTCACACTTCTTCCTGCCCTCTTCCTAATGACAGCTCATGGGTATCTCCGTTTCTTAATTTCTCTGTTTATTAGTCAGTTTACTACAAGTGGCAGTCCCACCCAGCTGTGAGGCACATGCAAGCCGTCCCCCCAATGAAAAAAAAAGTGAAATCCCCCAAAAGCCATGGTATAGTTCGCACACTGCCCACAGTATAAAGCAGTGCACTGCAGAGAGTGGAATTCTAAAAAGAAGAAAAGAACAAAGAAATATTGACAGGATAGAACAAAAAAAATGGCTTTGATGTTTTAAAGTTTCAGTGTTTATGTGAATATTCCATTAGAGAAGACAGACTTTCTGACCTCACTGTTTTTGCAGGAGAACCTGAACAAACCTCCCATTCTTATATATTTTTTGTTTAGCAATTGCAATTTCTTTTCATATAATTAATTTTACTTCATTAAAGCAGAGTTTTATGAACACAGTTGATTAAAATCAACAGTAACAGCATGTAGCTATTTGAAAATACACTTTTTTATTGTAGCAGTAACCCAGTGGCTTTTACTTGACTCTCTTTTGTCCTATTAAAACAGTCTAGTCCAACCCAGCAGTGTTCACACTGCAGACTTCCAGTGCACATTTCTGCACTGGATTTTAAATAAATACAGAAAGTAATCTGAAAAAAATAATACATTTTGTTAAACTACTAAATCTCCACAAATCAGCAGACTATATGCGAGTAAACCACTCATGCACTTCAGAAAAAGCTTTAAACTGTGTGGCAAAATCTGCAGCTCTAATACTGACTATGAACCACCTCAGATAACCACATTATTTGTTTGCTTATTTTGATTTACTGATGTATTTATTTTCTTATCTACTCTCTGCCATCTGTGCTGTGTCTATACACTGTATGTGTGAAAAATGATACATTGACCAAACAAACACAATTCCAACCTCGTTTTTGTTCATGTATATATAAACATATATATATTATATTAAAGTTTACTTTATTATTGTCATTGTTTTATTGCATTATTAAAATATTTTGACTTTTCAGAGTTTCTGTTCAAAACTGAGAGCTTCTTCCTTATTTGTTCAAAAAATCATTTTATGGATAAAAAAATTGCTCTGTATAATTTCCTCAGCCACTGTGCACAATTGAATCCCCATTTGCTCTGTATTAATTGTGCTAATAATTGTGTTTGAAACAATGATCTGAAGAAATTATGTGAAATTTCCCCTTCAGTGTCGCTCTGACTTCTCACTCCACCGGCACAGACGCTCTCTAGCGGCTGTGGAAACTTCACCTGGCTGTATTTATCTGACTTCAGTATAGCTGTGACCGCTCAGCATTGCCAAATTAACCAAATTATTATTTTTTTCTAGAAATGCCTATAGTAAGCTTCATGTGACAGACAATTTGAAATATATATATATATATAAAAAAACTGCCATAGAAACAACTCCAGTGTGACTGAAATCATCCTGTTGGCTTGACCTTTATCTCATGCTGAGAGTTAATTCTGCTCACAGCTGATGTGATATCAACAACTCCTCTTAATACAGGATTCTAGCACAAAACAGCCCCTCTGTAGACGCTGTTATTAAAGTCAAAGCACGAACAGCAGAGGACGCAGAGGGTCTGAGCTAAAGGAACAGATCAGCCCTCCCACTACAGCACCTCTCCTTTCTTCCCAAATGAATGAGGAACATGAGGGTACGAACTGTGTGTGAACGGTCGGATTTACTCACAGTGAGTAGCGGCATACGCAGCGCTGAAGACTCGCAGAGTGTGAAGCCAAATGAGATGCAGCAATACATCCATCTTCCAGCCGGGCTGAGGACTGCTCTGTATATCCGAGTGACTGCAACGGTTGATCAATGTCGGGGGAAAAAACAACAACGCACACAGTGGAAGAGGGTCCTCCCCGCTCGCTCCTCCAGCGTGCAGGGATTGGAAGTGTGGAGTGTGAAAGAGTGAAATGCATCCACGTCGACACTCCGACACTCCCTCACTGTGAGCTACAGCCACCTCTCTCTCTTTCTCTCCCCTTCTCCTCCCAATTCCCCTCCTCTACCTGTTTAATTGGCGTCTCTCTGTCCCTTTCTCACTCAATTTATTTATTGGCTGAGAAGAAAGTGCGTGATGCTGATATATTTACTATAAAAGCATCGCTGTAAAAACAGTCACAAGGACCCAGAGCTGCAGCAGCAACAACTGACACAAGACAGCTAATGAAATGTTTACAAATGTTTTGGACACACAGCCCAAGATGTCCCACGCTTCTCTCTTGCTATAGTTCACATTAAAAGGATGCCAAGTGGTGATAGGAATTAAGTGACAACCTAAAACAAACAAACATGGAAATTACATTATAAACCACATGTAAACAAAACATTCATTAATTACTGATTAAGGGCAGACTTCAAATGGAAAATGTATAAATAGAGTTTCTGTGTGTACATAAGGATTTACATTAGTACAGCTGTAAATATTGCATATAAAATAGGATCTCCCTGTGTTTGTGGGTATAAATCATTTTAGCACCACAGTGGCGGACAGCTCCCTCACTTACACACATGGACTGTCTGCTGCTGCACACACTCAAGGCTTTTATACAAGAGTTATAAACAAGTTTTACACAGAGACTTCACTTGAGCAAGAACAAAGTTATATATAAAGCTAAACAAGTACCGTACACACAGATGTATTTACAAGTATAGACACAAGTTAGGACTGTCACTTTTTATGCAAAATTAAAAATTAATCGGACCGTGGTTAAAGTGTAACCACACTCCTCAATTCTGCTAGCTCCCTCCCTCTTAGCAGATTTCACAAATGCATTAGAGAAAAGGATAGTGACTTAAGGGACCATGGCCTCCACACCTAAAGCTGTGATTGAAAGACTCACCACAGCAGGCTGGAGGAGGTGAGTCACCCTCCTCTGATTAGAGGTCATTAACACAGTTTTTTTATTTCATTTTTATAAAAACGTCATGATGTAGTCATAAACAGTCGACGCTATGTCAGCATTGGCCTTGCAAGGTTCAGGGTGATTTAAAACAGTAGATGAAATGTAGAGCCATTTTTAACTCACAAAATGAAAAGACATTTAAGGATGGTGTACCACTTTAATTTATAAGTGTAATGACATGCTTCAAAGTCAGAACTCACAACAACAAAACAGACTGTTTGGAGTATTTTGCCTGTGATCCAGCAGAGGGTGCTCCAATATCAGCTTGACCTAAGGCATTCCCTATTGACTTCAGTAAACTAAGCTAGTAATGTTATTGTAATAGTTTGGGGCCATGTTGAGCTAACGTTAGCTTGCAGATAGTGGAATAAGGCAACAAGCATAAACTCACAGCCATGCTGGTACAGGGGTTTCCACAATAGTCGCTGTTTATTACTAACACATCAACCTTGTCAAGCTCAGTTGCACGGCTACTATTTAATCATACATGAACATAACAGAGGCCACACATAGCCCAAACATTACTGTTGAATTGAGAAGCAAATGAAAAACAGGAGCTCAGCAACTAGCATCCATTCACAGCAGGTGAAACATTCAACTATGTTGTTATAAGGAGTTCGGTCTACACCTGCTCTATTTGGAAAGTGTCCTGAGATAACTTCTGTTATGAATTGGCGTTATACAAATAAAATTGAAAAAAATTGAATCTCTGACTGTAAAGTCTGACCCAGTAATAATGATTATAACACTCACTTTAAAGCAGCTGTCAGGTGGTTAACCAGTTCCCCTGGACTGTACTTGTATAGTGCCTTTCTAGTCTTCCGACCATTCAAAGCCATTAGACTACATGTTATGTTCACCCTTTTCACGCAGTGAATGGCAATGCCCAACTTCAAATTAATATCACATCACTGACGGAACAATCCTGTCATACTTTGCATATCAAGTTGGAGATTCAAAAACTGTAGTTTTAAAGTGTGCTCTTATATATAGTCTTAATGTGTTTTGACAGCATTTCAGTGACTATGCTAAAATATTTATCACGTTGAAATATAGTCATTCAATGCTGATGAGCAAGATTTTTAAGTGTAACATAGATGTCTAAAAGTGTACATTTAGAATTAACTTTTCAACTGCAAATAACCATAATGAAAGACAATATATAGATTTTATTCTGAGCTGAGAATAGATCTACCATGTCCAGAGATTGCTGTCTTTCCTTGATGACAGATTGATCATAAAAGTCATGTTAAAGATGGTTCTTTGTAGTAAAATAAATTGAAGATTGATGTCCACATTTTATATGTAATCTTTCACACTAACCACTGCATAAGAAACTAAGGAAAAGAAATTCAGAGGGACCATAAAGAAAGAAGAAAAGTTTCAGTCCCTTCGAAGGAACTGTCATCCGAAGTTCACAGCCCTAAATGTGAGAGTTGTTTGCATTTGAAAACTCCTGCTCATGCATCATCTATATGAGTGAAACTGTCCGCAGTGCCTTTGTTTCCCAAATTAAATTCTCCACAGTGGCTGCATCAGAGGGGGGTTCACTCAGGAGGTTATGTGCCAGATAGGAGATCCTATGCATGCTGCAATCAGAGAGGTGTCACAGATTCCAGTGATCTGTGATTCTGAAAAGGATTGGCTTTCTTTGAGCTTCGAGCTCTACTTCCAGAGCTCGAAGGGAGACATGAAATTAGACTTTTTGGTGTTGGCAAGTTGGATCACAGCCCATATCTGACATTTTGTCAAAGCTATGACAGATAAACAGCAATCAATAAACAAAATGCTCTGACCAGCTAATCATTTCCTTCACACCAAAATAAACGATTGGCTAGCTGACCTGCCTGTCTACCTACGCACCTGTTTACCTGTGTGCACTCTGTCCATGCACATGACCGAAGTCTTCCAGGCAGACACACTGCTAAAGACACTGACCTAGTCACACAAGAAATCAGCTTTGCAAAACAGTTTGCACTCCTAAAAGAGTCAACATTGGTGAGGCTTTTCCATGATGGCAAGAACCTCAGGTAATTATCTGGTTTGGTAAGTTTCCTGAACTAGTATGTAAAACTATGTATGAATGAGACATAAGGTATTTCGACACGGTAGGTGAACTCACCTCAACCACCACCAATGTATGGTTCAACGCTCACCACAAATCTGTCTAATTTGTTTTAATTTAATCTAAATTGATAAGCTGTCAAAATGAAGTGTAAAAGGTCAGAATCAGCCTTCAAAATCAACCATGTGTGATTTCCGCGTAACTCTTCCTAAACTTACTGATCACAATCCACACATTGTTGTTATGGTTTTTGTAATAATTTTGGACTGCTGCTGTCAATCTAATATGGTATTTATAATTTTAAAGACTGAATTTGTGTCCTTTGATCAGACACATATTTTTAAGCACACACTTAAAATGCAAGTGGATGGAAAACTTCCATAAAATCAGATGTATCCACATATGAAAGGGAAGTGAGTTATCATCAAGTATTGCAAACAAAGCCTAACAAACAGCCTGACTATGCTGCCTGGCTAAAATTTGCTAGCTAAATAAGTTAAACTACCAAGTTACCTCTGAATCCCCGTAAACATCTCTGTCTTTTTCAACAATTTCAAATGTGAATGTATTGAAAGTTGTAGAATGAAAAAAAATAACAAAAGTTCCTTTCTAAACCAGGATTCTGGAACTCAAATAGTTTCACAGTGTTTTAGGGTACAAATTAACATAAAACACCTGGGAAATGTAATACTCAACACAGTTCAAATCCACAAATAAATGTATTTGGTATGGAATAGAGTTCAGGATTAATGGAGTTCAGGATTCCTCTGATCCACTCAAGTTCAAGTTTAGTTAGTTGTCGTCTGTTCAGCTAGCTTTAGTCAAATAGTCAGTTTCAGTTTCAAAGTGCTTTAGTTCTGTCAAAAGTCATATGGTAAGGTGTGAAGTCGTCACAGTCCTAGCACACTGAGGTATACTCAAGTGACGAGGAATGAAGGCCGGGATGGTCTCCTCCTCTGGGCAAAGGTGGTTCCAACTCATTGGAATAAGGAGGGGATCTGGTTCAGTATTGGCTCACCATCTCCTTCGTCAAGGAGAATCCAAAATCCAAATCTAAGGGTATCTTCAGGGACTCTGAAAAACCTAGCCTGTATGAAAATAAGGCTATTACTACATTGAGTCAATGAAATCCCACTTCACTATGACCATGGTAATTGAAATCACATCAAAATTCTCAAAATACTACTGCAACACAATAATAATTAAATTAATGAAATATTTTTAACTGTACAGCATTTCTCATATGGAGTATTTTATCATTTTTACACCATTCACTACTACACATTAACTATTTGTAGCTTTTTTAACCATGAATTATGATTAATTAATGTTTTAACCATCAAGTTAACATAGGACCTTCCAAATTGAAATTAACATTTGACCTTTTTAAATAAAATAAACACTCTCTTTAAATTATGAAATAAACACATTGTCTCTTTAAATTATGACCTGACTACAACACATCAGGTATTTTACACACCTCATATTTTCTTATAAAGGTTGTAGCTTAAATGCACATATCCAGTATTCTTAATCATTACCTATTATTATTAGCACTGGCAGTGCATAACTTAGCAGCCACGCTTCCAATGTAAATGGTAAATGGACCTGTACTTGTATAGCGCCTTTCTAGTCTTCCGACCACTCAAAGCGCTTTTACACTACGTGCCACATTCACCCTTTCACACACATTCACTCAGTGATGGCAAAGTCCATCGAACAGAAACTAACATTCATACACACTCACACAGCAATTTGGGGTTCAGTATCTTGCTCAAGGATACTTCGACATGTGGCACCAGGAGCCGGGGATCGAACCCACAACCTTCTGATTAAGGAACAACCTGCTCTGCCTCTGAGCCACAGCTGCCCAACTAAACAGTTGAGTACAAAAGTATTCTTATACACCAAAGTAAAAGACTGCTATAATGATATAACTCATAATTTTAATATTTTCTAGTAGAGATATACTGCTTTAACTCTCAGTAATATTGCTTTAACACTCTCAAAATCAAA